CCCCACAGAACTAAGAGTATATAGAGTTCAAATTTTAACTTCCTTCCCCTGTGGCAGTATTTGAAAACCACTGCTAAAGTACTGCCCTTGAATTATTATAAGTGTTAGGTTTTGCTAGAGATAGAAAAAGGTGATGTTTCTCAACAATCATTAACTATTACCCAGCTGCCTCTTTCTAAAGAAATTAGACAGTCAATAAGTTACTCCTGCCTTAACTCAAAAGTAGACCTCCACACTCCTGTGACAAAACAGAACTCTACACCAAAGTTTATCAATGAGGCAAGTGCATTTCTGGCATTTCTGTCACAAAAAGAACAGAAGATGGAAACAGAGAAGGACAATCTAAGTAACAGAGGTCCTCCTATCTAGGGGATATGAAGCAGGGTTTGGAGGGGGTGAAAAAAAAATCTAAATATAACAATATTAAAAAAAAAAAGTCAATTACATCATTAATAATACGAAACCAATTTTTACACAATACCCAGTTAAGCAACCTTCTAAGCCACATACTGGCTTAAAGAAAAGTATACCAGAATGGAAAACCACACATTTACTGCTTCTGAATCTCTCCCCTTGAGCATCAACTGCTGTCTACACAGCAAATAAGAAGAGAGGTCCATGTTGCTTCATATGCTGCAAGGCTTTTTCAGTATTACATTAAGTAACCAAGGCACAGCCAATGCAAGAGCCCTCAGTTTAAGTAATTTTCACCCTTTTTCAGCATAAGCATTCTGACCTGGCATACCAGGAGTCATTTCAATCCCTTTTCAAACTTGCTCTATAGCTTCAATCAACTGAAATCTCATTTCCCTGACTGCAAGACAGGAAAAACACGTGTTTACTTTTGTAAATATTAAGATCTGTTGTACTTTTTTATCTATAGAAGTTCAAGGCATCATGAATTTCGTTGTGCTATAAAAGCGTCTATAAATAAAGTATTTGTGGGATGCTGCTGCTTGTGTTGTCCCTGTTCTTTGAACAGCAGACGGTTTCTAGTCTTTACAATCTGCCATTTGCATTAAATTCATTTGCATCAAATGCATATGCATCAACTGCATTTTGAGAAACAAAAAGCTGAAACGAATCAGCATAATTCCAAACCTACTCATAGTCTAGAAGAGGATATCTCAAACGCCATGTTAAAACATATGTGCAAGGGAACATGAAGAAAACCTTCTTTAAAGAAAAAAGAAACCTAAAAATGTATTAGAGTATGCTCCAGATTATGTCTATATTTACTAACCTTCACTACGCTAACAAATAGCCTCCTTTCTGCTCATATAAGCTCCAGCTAACACACATCATAATTACAGCCAGCCACGTTAGAATGCCAAGTCTACATTACTATTTGTGTGCAATTACTCTATTAATTAAGTTAATGAGTCAAGCATCGAGGTGTTCAAAATTATATGGAGACTAATGCCCATTGGGAATTACAAACAAATGACATGTGCCAGTCACATTCCCAGTTCCTTTCCCATTCTGCCCCTATTCACATATGATTAAGTATCACAGACAAGTAAACTGTACTGGTCATTGGGAATTCTACCCAGAAGGACAAAAGAAACAGTGCATGAACACTGAAACATATTCTCCTATTGAGACTCATCTCTTTCAAATTTTAAGTTTAAAAAATAAAAAGCCAGATCTGCAAACACAGAAAGAAATGTCAAACAAACCTACATATACACTTTCAGCTAACACTTAAAGTTCCTGGTTTATTAATTATGGGAGCTTTATACTCTATCCTGGAGTACCAAGAGGGAATGAAAAAAAAAAAAAAAAAAAAGTCAGTCTTGGTCTAGCAACTTCTCATTCAGAAGCTTGAGAAAACAAGTAGTCAACAAACGTCCAGCAAAGGTGCTGATAACGATGATCCTTACAACTGCACAGGAATTAAAATTATGGCCAAGAAGCGATGCTCTTTTTAATATCACAGCAATATACTGTAAAGGCAGAACATATGGCAATAAAGTACATCTATTTACACCATTACAAACATCTACACTGATATATTTACCATTTCATTCTATGAGCTTCCCTCATAGGTAAGATCCCTTCTGGTACCGAGCTTCCTTCCATCAAAACTCAATCACTCTTACTGGAATGTGCCAAAATACTTTTACTCGTAGTTTACAAGCTTTAAGGACCTTATTAATTTATGACAGTAACATGAATCTTTCTGCTCAACACACAAACCGGAACTCACTGAAGTGCATCAGAAAGCACGTAAAAAATATTCCCACCCACCTATCCCTAACAGTCATTTCTGAGCAGCAAAAACAGTAAAGTTAGATGAGTATTTTGTTCTCAAACATTATCTGTCAGCATCCAGACATGTAGTTTAGAGGCTGAAATACATCAGCTTTTCAGTACAACATTTTACATTTAAGCTAGTACGAATATTTTAAAGAAAACTTCAAGAAAACCACCTGAACAGTAGATTCTAAATGCAGAAGAACTACTAATTCTGAGTTTCTGGATTGATGTGGGAAAGGGAGTGAATAATGATTTAATCGACCCCTTTCAAGTTGCTGTGCCTTGCTGGTGGGCAAAACAGAGAGCAATGCAGAAGGAAAAAAAAATCACCATCTACAACAGAATAATCAGTCAAAAAAGGAACACTCCATCGTATACCTATAAAAAGAAACCGCACAACAAAACAGCTGGCAGCCTTTGATTAAGCCAAAGGTCTCCTTACAATATAACAGGTTACTGACACTTAACTGACATGCCAGCATCGACAGTTTGAGAGAAGGGACATCTGGGAATTAGAGAGAATGATAAAAACTACAGTGAGCAACTGGAAGACAAGCCCAAACCTTCACAATAACACTAGAAAATAAGACAGATGCACATCTCATGACTAAAAAAGGAAACAGATGAGCATTAAAGATTGTAGCAAGCAAATATTTATTTACTCTAAATAAAACTGACTTCCTTAAAAGCTTATTCTCTTATCTTGACAAATACCAGGGCAGTTGTTCACAGTCATTTTTCCTCAAAACCACCTATCATCTCAAAATTATAACACTCTTTAAAAGTCATGACAAATTAGTGTGGAAAAACACTACATATTTTAATAATATTTACCTCATGGTCTTGGTTATCTTGTCCATCTTTGCCACTTTTTCCACTCTTGACTGATTTTGTAGGTTCCTTAAAAAAATAAAAGTTTGCAGTCTCAGTTTTTCTAAAAAGAAGATCTAGACAGATTTTCAAGTCAAGAAATCAGGTTTTTTTAGACACTCACTAAAGTAATGACATTAACAGAAAGAAAATTATACTGTTTTATTGGAAGAACTATCAGTCTCTATAAAGTTGCCTTAAACATTTTTTTCTGTAGAAAGGCTTTGGAAATTTATTTATGCCTCAAAATTCACCCGTAAAGACAAGCTTTCCATAGGTGAGCAGGCAGAGACAAAGAATGCAAGTGATTTGAACTATGTCTGTGAACTTGCTCTCTTCAGTTTACAGCTCCAGAAATGTTTATATTTAGTTTAGCTCTGAAACCAGTATGATTATAGTACACATTTTACACTTCATTATTTTGTCTGTTCTAGGAACTAGAAAGTCTCGTATTAGAAGTAGGCCCACAACTCACTTTTCTCTCTCACAGCATCCTACTTAACTCGCATCCTTCACCCGCAGTGTACTTTTGACATTTGTTATTCTCAGAGAAAGTTTCAATGTTTTTAACGTCAAAGGTGCCACGAATATTGGGAAAAAAAATTAAAGCGAACAAACCCCCACAAACCACAACACCCAACTTCCCTACATCTAATTTTAAAGCGATGTTGACAAACTAAAAGACAAACAGGATCCACCAAACAGGAGCGGTCGAGAGGGCCGGCAGCTGGATGAGGCAGACAGCACACTTCGCTGTCTCTGACTTCCACTCACGTGGCTAATTGCCTCTCACACAAAACAGAGTGCGATCCAGCTAACTTCCTGCTGGATTTACAAGTTTTCTGCCATCATTACTCGTGCAAGCCCCTTTCGTGGCCACCAGACGAATCCCTCCCGGGAGCGCCGGTGGAGCTCGAGGCTAAGTGGGACCAAAGATCCTCTTCTATTGTCAGGAAAAGGAGCTGAAAGACTCCCGAGAGGCGATTAGCGCTCCTGGGATACTTATGGAGATCCCCCAAGCACAACTCCCACCGCAGCCTGAGCTACGCAGCAGCCAAACTTCCCGTGATGGGGTGCGGGGGAGCAGCCGTGGGGAAAGACCCCCCACGCAGCCCTGCTTGGAAAACACCCCTTCCCGCTCCCCAACACCCCCGGGCCGAGCCCAGCGAGACCTCTCCCCGCTCAGCCTCCGCCAGCCGCAGCAAGACACGTTTCCCATCCCCTCCCTCCCGCACTCCTCCGCACGCCGAACCCGCGGCCGCCCCCACCGAGGCGACACCGGGACCCCGCATCAGCACCCCCGGCCTAGGCCCCACCGGGAGCTGCCCCTTCCCCAGCGCCCGGCTCTGGGAGGAAGGCGGGGGCCGGCACACAGCTGTGGAGGAGGAGGGCATCCCTCGCCCGGCTCTGCCCCGCACCGGGGAGCGGGCGCCGCGCTCCGCTCGCCGCTGCCGCCCCCCGCCCCAGGCCCCTCCTCCTCCTCCTCCTCCTCCTCCTCCTCCCCGCGGGGCCTGCGCCCCACTGCCTCCCCGCGGGGCTCGCCCCCCCGACCCCCAAACCCCTCCTCCCCGCCGCGAGCCCCCGGCCCGACTCACTTTCTCCTTCTTGTTTTTATTCGGCATGTCCGCGGAGGCGCAGCCCCCGCCGGCCCCGCTCGGCCCGCGCCGCGCCCGCCCCGCGCTGCCACCGCCGCTCCCCCGCTCCGCGCCGGCCTCACCCCCCCCTTCCTCCCCCGCCCGCGGGGACCGTTCGAGCCCGCCCATTGGCTGCGCGCGTCACGTGGGCCGCGCCTCGCGTCGCGTCACCCGCGCGGGCGGGGCTGAGGGTGCCCCCGCCTCCCCCCCCGAAGCTCGGCGGGTCCGGGGCGCTCCCGGTGGGGTCGGGGTGATCCCGGCGCGTCTGTCCGGGCTCCGGCCACGCCTCGGGGCGGCCTCGGGGGCTGAGCGGGGACAGCGGGGGGGGTTGAGGTGTCCTCAGCGCCCCGAGCCTCCGGCAGGCTCTTGCTCAGCGCGTGGGAAGCGGGGGATCGCTGCACCCCCCCCGCCCTGAGCCGCTCTGGGTGGTGAGGGACTCCGAGTGCCTGTCACTGGAGAGCGGGAATGTTAAGCAAAAAAAACCCCGAAAAAATCCTAACATAGGGCATACCCGACGCACGCTGGCCCTCTGGTAGAAACCGCGTGTGCCCATCATCAGTTTGAGGACTTCAGAGCACGCTTGCAGTGTGCGGTGCATGAGGAAAAGGTGAGCTCTGCGAAGTTGCAGCCTGGCTTCCTAACAGTACCTTTATCCCTTGTTAGCTTTTAAAAGCTTGGGCGCGGGTGTGTGTGTGTGTTTTCACGGTGCCCGCCTGTACCAGCGATAATTTTTTTAAATTATCAGTGAACAAATCGCTTTTTAATCTCTCAAAGGCAGAATGCAAAAAAAAAAAGTCAGAACAATCTTGGATAAAAGAAATGTGTAGATACTCCATCTGGAAAATCTACAAATTTTATTTCTCACACTGCTAGATTAAGCCCCAAATTACTTTTAGCTGAGGAAAAAGTGCAGGGGACATTAATACTCATAATAGTGCCAGGACATAAAGCATTTAAAATTTAGGTTGGACATACGTGTTAAATTCTAATTGTGCTGCACTGCTAAAGGACAGAAAAATTACAGCTTAATAAATAAAGCATAAAAGTGAAATTGATATCCTTCCTTACCCAACCTGTAAGTATCAAAGCCAGTATGAGCAAACAGCTATGCTCTCTTTTTTGGGAACTGGGATTTCTAATAACCACTTGTGTCTGATGGGATGATACCTAACATCAGCTTGTATCCATTATATTTGAACACTGCTTTTGCTGTGGCTAAAAGGACAAAGAAACTTTCCCTTTTCCAGGCATTGCAAAGAAGTCTACTCACTATGGAGAGCTGCTTCGTCTTACTTCAGTCCCCTTCCTTTCCTGATTCTTAAGTGCTAGAAAACAAATCATGTCTGCCTCTTATCCTTTCCTTAATCTTCTCTGGTTTGAGGGTTTACAAATGCAGTGCAGTTATCACTATTGTACCTCTGTTAATAGCCAGTCATGAATGAGTTACTATTAATAAATGAGATTTCTGACCAACAGAATAAATGGATTTCGGGCATACTAAGTGAGAGTGAAGGAAAGAAATCTACCTCCATCTGTAGTCTGGAGCTTGATGAGTGAAAGGGTTTGTACAGCTAAGAATAAACTCAAGAGCTTCCAGTTCTTTGTTAGGTTTCAGTTTTGTAGAAGCTTAAACTACTCTTAATTCCCAGCTGTTGTGCTCCTATCTCTCTCCTCCGCACTCATGCTGGTACTGTGCAGCTCCTTAAACCTGTTCACAGAATTGATCGGGTTGAAAACTGTCGTTCCAAAGCAGTGTGTTGGTTTGGGTTGGGTTTGGGTTGACTTTTGCTTTTTTTTCCTTTTTTTTTTTTTTTTTTTTTTTTTTTTTTTTTTTTTTTTTTTTTTTTTTTTTTTTTTTTTTTTTTTTTTTTTTTTTTTTTTTTGCCTTGAACTGGCACACCACCACCTGCTTCTGTAAACACTAGCATTGGCTGAAGGAAGGGGGTGGAAATATGCGGCGGGGGCGGGATGTGACCTCAACAGCCTAGATTTAGATCAGTTTAAGCAGCTTAATGAGTTTCTCATTGGCTCTTGGCCTCCTTTGTGCTTGCTAGTGCTCATAGTTTTTCCAAATAATGGAAAAACTCTGTCAGTATCGATGTTACCCAAGTGCTTCTGAATTGCAGCAGCTAAAATTGTCTGTCCTTATTTTACAGTTAGCTGAGAAACCTTGAATCAATACGCTGGACTGAATACAGGTTCAGAAGATGGTGCTGAATTAGTTGACATTTAGGAGGTTTTCTTTGTGACCACAGATGTAGAAACTCTTGTGAAAACTTGACTCCCCCTCACTGCACTTGCTGCAGAGTCTAATTCACCAGTAACAGAAAGCAATTGTGTTTTTCAAGGCCTGCTGTATTAGATGAAATAGTCAGTGGGTGGAGGAGGTTTACAAGAAAAATAGTTCCATCTGTATGCTCCAGTATCTTCATAAAACATGAGAATAAGACACATGACTTACACAATGAAATCTTATTTTTACTACAATGGTACGTCACTGTGGACCTTATTATTCTGCTACAGAGTAGGATTAACTATGTAAATAAGGTGATGTAATATGAGTGTGAATATGACCATATTAATATTTGCATTAACTTCTGAACGTTTCATGCAAACTAGGTGTTTTCAAAAACGAGAACAGATGCAGACCTCTCTCTGTAATTAAAATGTCAAAAACTAATGCATGTAGGATAGTTTCCAATTTGTGTTTTTTGCTGTACTGATGAAATTGTCTAAACTTGCAAAAGTTAAATCACCAAATAATGTCAAATATTGTGTAAAACACCTGGATAATATTTAATAGCTTGAAAATGGGCCAAGTGTCCAGGGTGCCAATATTTACACAGTTAGTTCTTTCCAGCAGTATTGGATATTCTTTTTTGTTTGCTTTTTCATTTATTTTTGTTGTCACGCTCTGACCTGAGCTTATTGAACAGATCACTGTCACTGTGATGGATGACATCTTCCATCCCCAGTTGTATGACTTTACTGCTTCCCATGCACTGTCTCTAGTTTAATTGGGTGTTATGCCAGTTCAGCTTGTTAAAATGGCAGAAAACTAACTGAGCAGTGAGACAGGAGACAATGAGACCTTTTGCTAGGAAGCTGTTAATTTGGCTCAACTAAAACTGTGCAACCGCACTTGTGGACAAGGTTTGAGAAGCCAATGAACTGTCATCATTATACATAGTTGTCAAACATTGTCAGGCTGTTTCTCCAAACATCTCTTCATTGACTGAAGCAGATCTCTTCCTTTCTGGGGCTCTGTGTCAGATGTAAAGAGAAAATTGAAAATGGAAGCACCACTGCCAGTAAGGAGGCTGGAACAGATGGGTTGAAATCTAAACAAATTTTTTTCATGCTTGTGCTGGCCAAACTACTACTTAAGGTAACTTTCCTGTCAGGAACAAATGAAACTGCCAGATTATGTCTGAAGGAACTAACTGAGAGAATAAACTACTTCATCAGCACCTGCAATAGACTCTGCTTCCATGCAACCTAGCACCAAAAGCTGCAAAACCAGTATGTTCAACTTCCAAAAAAAGCTTAAACATCTTTCAGGAACTTTCTCCACAAGCATGGATTCATTCTACTTACCCTGAATTACATTAAATAATTACATTAAATAATTCTTGTGCTGTTCTCAATCTAAATTGTAAGGCTCTAATTCTCAACTCTTTTAAAATCCATTAGTGTTGGATATCCTGCTGTCACAATCTGCAGTGTTGTAAAGGTTGCGAAACAATTTATTCAAAGCTGTATAAAAGTCAGACTCTTGAGGTAATGAGTTATGGGTCAAATTCAGAGCTTCATGCATGTAAACAGCATGATATTTTAGCTCTGTGTGTGACCACGTGGTTACAAATGGCAATTATTGGCATTTTTAACAATTATTAGATGCACATTATAGATGATGCACATTCAGAACCATAATTAATCATATATGTGTGTGTAATAGTGTCAGTATTGGATACCTTCTAGCTCTAATACTGATGCATATTTTTGTAAAATTTGGACTGGTAAAAAATTTTTAAAAATGCTCATGGATATTTAATTATGCTATCTAAATATCAGCTTTTAGAATTTTCATTGACCATGGAATTATTACATTGAAATGCATATTTCTTTGAGTTTTGTCTGTTCTTAATCCATTTCACTCTCTTCCTTGCCTCTTAAGTTTAAAAAAAATGATAAGATTTCATTTGAATGTAGTGAACAATATTATCAATTATTTAGGCAATGATAGCATTATAGAGAAGGTTTGCTAGGAGATTTTTTACTTAAAAAAAAAAAAATCATGACTTTCTTTCCCTCAGATAAGTAGTGAAACTCATGTTACACACCCTTTTCAGTAAGCTCTCAGAGGCTTTCTGGCAAAACCAGAAGTCACCTTGCTTATCTTCTACTGGGGAGCAGCAAGAGTTGTCCCATGAGAGAGAAAGAGCTTGGAAAAGAACATGGCTACAGCAAAGACAAGGTCCTCTCTGTCCAGGGTACCGTCCCAGTGGGGTCAGCATGGTGATAGTCACCAGTCTGAGACAAGGCAAGGTAAAAAGTCAGAGGTCCATCCAAGAAATCCACTAAGGAAAAACAGGAGACCAAAATGGACACAAGACTTCCTATCACGCAGATCTGAGATTGAAGGAGGCAAGCCCAGAGAGAGGACTATTATAACATAGGTTTAAAGTTCATCCAGGAGACCAGGGCCAGAGAGAATGGTGTACCTGCAATGTACACCTGAGGTCCACTTAGGAAAGTCGGTCAGTAAGTCATGCTGGAAAGAGACAGGGCTGGATAGAGACACAGCTCTGACAGAATGGGCCAGGTTTAGGTGCACAGGCCAGAGCTTAAATAGAGCTCCTGGACCACTTGGAAATGCTGCCACATATGGCTGGTAACTGGCCTGCTGTTATATGCCAGTAACCACTGTCTATATTAATTAACACGTGGATTCTGGACTTCTGTTTAGGCCAAGTTAATTTTAAAATGAATGTGAAAAAACATAAATAATGAGGATGGAAAATTCACGAAGAATGTTACTAAGGCATTGTGCTGGTTTTAGCTGGGATAGAGTTACATTTCTTAACAGTAGCTTCTAAGGGGTTAGCTATGCTTTGGATTTGGGATGAAAACACTGTTAATAACATAAGAATGGCTTTGTTGTGGCTGAGCAGTGATTACACAACCTCAAGGCCTTTTCTGTTCCTTACACTGTCTCACCAATGAAGAGGCTGGGGCTGCACAAGAGGATGAGATGGGACACAGGTGGGACAGCTGACCCCTGCTGACCCAAGGGATATTCCATACTGTATGTCATCTTGCTCAGCAGTAAAGCTGGATGGACGGATGGGGAGGTTGGCTGGGGCTGCCACTGCGTGGGGACTGGCTGGGCATCATTTGGCTGGTGGTGAGCAATTGTTTGGTGTTTTTTTGCATATTTATTTTTTATTTTCTCTCTTCTTTTTTTTTAATTGTTAAACAGTCTTTTTCTCAACCTATGAAATTTCATACTTTTAAGCTTCTGAATCTCACTCCCATCCCACTGGGGTTAGGTGAGTGAGTGGCTGTGTGGTCCTTAGCTGCCTACTGGGGTTAAACTACATGGCAGGCATCACTACTGAGATTCAGTAATATCCTGGACAAATAATATATAACCAAAATGTCTAATATTATCTAATGAGTTAAAACATTTTTATCTGCTTGTGGCCACAGTTTGCACGGTGGTTATTAAGTATTAAAATGACCTACATGTGGGAATTCAGATGATGATCAAAGTAAAAGACAGGCTATTAAGCCGGATGAACCATTTGTCTTATCCAGAAAGCCAATTCCTATGAGAAGTGCCTGCATTTGTGTACTGGTACTCAAATTCCATAGAGATGCAAATTACAAAAATAGTAACATTAAAATACTTTGCACAAATCGCTTGGTGTTCTTCTGTCTCAGTGAAGCAAATAAAAGGATCATTAAAGCAAGACTTTGCTGCATGTCATGGAGTTGAATCTTTCCATGAGAATAAACTGAGAGAGGTGCAACTCTGTTGGTAACATGTATGAATTGAGGTGTAATTTTCATTATTTGTGTGGGTTTATTTTTTGCATTTGTAATGAGTTAAGAGATACTTGAAAATATGATATAATAATCTGTTTAACATTTATTGTCTGTGCCTAGCATTTAGAGGGTAGAAAGGACATGTTTATTTTTGACGGTTCTTCTCTTTTTCATATCCAAATTGAGTATTTTTATGGTGTATTTTGTGCAATTTTTAGCAGTCGTTTTTCATTCTGGGGTTTTGCTGCATTAAGTAGAATGTTCCCATACATGTACTAGGATTCCTTCTTCCCACATGATATCAAAGGGAAGATTAATTTTGTATCAGATGAGTGAGACTAGTAACATAAAGGTGACTGCAGCTAAGACTCCTACATTTTCGTTTTTATCATACTTAAGTTGGTATTTATAGAATGAACTAAGAGATCCAATTAATTGTACCTCCTGTTGATGCCGTGCAAGATTTTCTCTTTCAACACTTCATTCTTTTTTTTCTGCCTTTTTTAGGATTTGTCATAGCTAATATAGCTGTATATTTTTATCTCAGTGTGGGAACAGTTGAAAGACACACTCAGAAGGCACACTCAGGACTTAACCCTGCAAGTACCACGAGTTTGTGGATGCATGAGGGTCTGCTTCTATGTATGCTCAGAAGTGTCCGTCTTCTCAGCTGATGAATACTCTGCATTTCTGATTTTCAGGAGCAATCCGTGCTTCCTTGTCAGAATGTGAGGAGCAGCTTCCATCAACAGAGCTTTTGGCTTGCTCCCCCTAGGGCAGGCTGCCTGCTGCTACACTGTGCAGGTTTTGCAGGGATCTTGTAAGCTTCTGCAGGCCTTTCCACAGCCTTTCTGCATGCACAGCACAAATATCACTCCTCTGCTGCACTCACATCCTGTGATCAGGCCCTTTCTTACTGTGTACTTTAGGATGGGTGAAGATTGTTTTTGAATATTGTTGCCTGGGACTACATTGAAACCCCTCAGCATCAAGCTTTTTAGGTAGTCAGGGTCCCCCATTCAAAAGCTGTGATTAGAATCCTCTGCCACACCAACTCCCTTTTGGCACTTTAAAGTCTGTGTTTTCATATGAGAACAATTTTGAAAGGTTCTTTAATAACAAATCCCTATTTTGTTTGCCCAAGATAAAAGGAGAAGTGCTTGCGGCACACCACTTATCTGCTACTGTAACATGTTATCAGAGAGACGTGTTATGGGGTCACGCCAGGCAAAAGGCTTGCAAGGATGATGTTGGAGGATTGGATCAAGTGCAGAGGGACTTTGTACTCAATCCATTTCCTAGAGCTATCTAGCTACTGAATGGCTTCTAGATTTTGCCTAAGAGAACACCTTGTTATTTTGCTTCAGAGGGTATTCCAGGAATAATCAAGCATGTGCACAGAGTGAATGCTAATTAAGAGAACTTTGGAACCAAACACGCAATGATTCAACCTGATAGTACAGGTGTAGTCAAAATCTCTTTATGTGCTACGTTGAAAGCCTTGGTCTGTAATTCAGCTGTAGATTCTACTGAATGGCAAAACTCGCGAGCCACAGAAGCACAGAACGGGTCAGGCTGGAAGGGATCACAGTGGGTCGCCTGGTCCAACCTCCCTGCTCATACAGGGTCATCCCAGAGCACATGGCACAGGATTGCGTCCAGATGGTTCTTGGATATCTCCAGTGAGGGAGACTCCACACCCTCTCTGGGCAATCTGTTCCAGTGCGCAGTCACTGCACAGTAAAGAAGTTCTTCCTCATGTTCTGGTGGAACTTCCTGTGCATCAGTTTCTGCCCCTTCCCTCTTGTCCTGTTGTCCTATCACTGAAAAGAGCCCAGCTCCATCCTCCTGACACCTTCCCTTTGAATACTTGTACATATTGATGAAGTGCCCTCTCATTTGTCTCTTCTTAAGACTGAACAGGCCCAGCTCTCTCAGCCTTTCCTTGTGAGAGAGATGCTCCAGTCCCTAAATGATTTGTGGCTTTCTGCTGGACTCACTCCAGGAGCTCCACATCCCTGCTGCACCGAGGAGTTCATCATTCTAAATTCAGTGTTTCACTATCAGAGTTGTAAGAATTTGTCCACTTTGGCAAACCAGAATATTTTTGCTTAGTCACATTTTAGAAGATGTCAGCTCCATTTTTACTGAAGGTTTAAAAAAATCAGATTCTCTGAAAATATTTGGATGGAGCAATTAAACATTGGCAAAGTTTATAAGCATTTCAAACTAGAACCTTACAAAAGGAGGTGTTAGGCCAACGTAACTGCAGATTTCTCTTCCATCTGTATTTATATCATGGTGTGTTCTGTCTGTCTGGTATGCCTGTACAGATTTTGCCCTAGACTTAAATTTGTTTTCATCTTGTGTTCAGTATTTATTTTAGAAATTCTACATAGGTGTGAGTTGTGTTTACATTTTATTATCATTTCTTAGGTATGCTAGAATGTCTTTTGAACACCAGGCAGGTGAATAAAAGTACTGACAGAAAATAGTATGTGTGGACAATTACTAAGATGTGAAAAAACAAGGCCTTTGACACAGATTTTTGCCTGCATGCATTCCATAGAAGCATAACACATAATCTTTATACATGATGCATTCCCTTCACAGAGGTTCATGGGTGTTTTAACTCTATGCTCTTTTGTTGCTGTCCACAGTTTTTCGCTGTCTGTGAAAATGGCATGTATTGATGTCAGCAGAGCTGATTGATCACAACTGTTCTTACAGAGTTTAATTTCACAAAGCAGCTCCTGTTTCCAGCATGCTGTGTGTGTCTGCTCTTGTTTTTATTGCAATCCTATGTGTTTCTTTTCAACTTTATCACAAGACTTGCAGTTCATCCATTTGTTGGCTGTTTAGAGAAGAGTTCCTATACATGTGACATTGATTCAAGAATAAATTGTGAGAGCTGTTTTTCCCTTCCTTTCACTGGGGCTACCAAGGTAGTTCTGTGGGCAGCCTATTGTCTATATTGTTTTTTCTAATTTGTAGACTAAATGCCCAGATTTCTTTATGGACTCCTTTATTTTTGTTTCAGAGAAAGAATCAGCAGTCATTTGAAAGTTACCTGTTTTTCGAAATAAATTGAAATAAAAAATCCCTGTTATTAGTGTATGAAAGAAGCAGATTGGTAACTCCCTGTTCATAATTCCCATAGTACTTTACCTTTAAATCTTCTTTCTGATATGTAAAGAGGATAATGGTAGTAAGGTAAACAAAATGTGTTCAGAAAGAAGATAAGGTATGTAAGATACATGAAGAAAGGTTTCTTAACATACATTTAAATAGAAATCCTACTCATCACCCCAAGTTAATTAGTTTTTCTCTGACTGTAGTAAGTTGGATTTGAATTTTAGTTCTGCTAAATATGTGAAGGCATTTTAGTATTTATCTAGAATGTCAGAAAGTAGATGAACTAATAGCTAATCTTTTAAGAATTTTTTTTTTAATTTACCTGTATTATGGAACCAACCAGAGGTTTTAATTCAAGGCTGAAGTATTATAGCACTGTATATGAAATACTAGTAAGGAAATGTCTTTTTCACAGTAAAATCTGGTTTTACTATGTACTTCCCAAACAATATGGTTCATATAGGATTATTCAATGAAATGCTAAATTAGCTATGTGCATAAGTTGTGGGCTTGAAGCCAGAGTGAGAGGAGAATGATCAAAAGCTGAGCAATTAAACAGGAAAATTTTCGAGGTATACATTGCTTGAGATGGAAAGGCTTGCTAGTCACTCAGATGGGTGTGTTCAAGCTTTGACTGTGCATTTCCAGGCTGCTCAGCTGTGTATAGGTCAGTGTAATTTGGCCTGAAGAGATGAAGTTCATCACTTGATGCTGACCCTTGCATTCCTGTGCATGCTGTTCACTGCATCCAGCTGGCCCAGCAGGCTCACGTAGGCCTGAGCGAACCTTGAATACACATGGTACAGCAGATGTATTCAGGAGCCTCTTAGTCAACTTTTGATTGTTCTGTAAACATTACAGAGAGATGTTAAGTTCAGATGCTTTGTGTTTAAAAGATCTTTTTATGGTCTAACTTTAATTACTACTGGTTAACACTGATGGCTAATAAAGATGTCTTAGAAAAAGCCTGAGGGAACACTCTGTGAGCTCAGCAAAGGACTGGGGATTGAATGATCTAGATTCTATTCCTAATGTGACCATTGATTTGCAGTGTGATTTTGACAAGTTGATCTCTGTGTTTCTGTTTCTATTTCACATCTTTTATCTCTCTTGTCTATCCTTATTGCAATTTGTCTCTACAGTGCCTAGAATAAAGAAGAAGGCAATCTGGACTGCCATTCTGGTAACTGTGATAACAAGTAACTTTTGATACAAACTGAATTTCAATCATTCTATTGAAGTATGATTGTAATGGATTTGTGTAGATATACAGAGATCCAGATTTAAGTTATATGTTCAGCCATCTTTAACCTAAAGGATTTAATCCTATCAGAGAGCAGTCTTTAGCGTCTGTCTCCATGGTCTGTACTGAGCTGAGAGAAGATAAAACTTGAAGGTAGTGTCCATGGATGTCAAGGAGGTAACACAGTTGTATCTTTAACAATTTTGACTCAACGTATGACCTACCGCTAGATGTCTGCAGCACTTCTACGTGTAAATTCTCTTTCATGCCTGGTACATCTTCAAAAATATTCTTGTTAAAAAAGCTTTCATATGATACTGACTTTATGTTTGAAGTTGGCTTATTGATTATGTCTGAGATGGCTATTGCTAGGCTTACTCCAAATATACCCTGCTGGAAATTTCCCTTCCACGGGGGGAGTTCTTCTGCATTATTACTTATTTTGCTATCAGATTCCAGGTGATGTAGGCAGCCATTGGGTCTGGTTTGAAAAACTCCTAATTTTGATTGGATTCAGTGAAAACATAAGTGTGGCTGGTGTGTTGTTTAAACATGAACAAAACCTACAATAAATTCAAAGCTTATGGTGAGTTTTGTTGAGAAAAGCAACTGCCAGGCTTCCTGCAAAAGGGAGTTACAATCAGTTGATTTTTATCAATTTACTAATTCTTTTTGGACAATAGAGATGTTTTGCATGCATACTGTGTGTTTATATCCATATTAAAAATTCTTGTGCCTTGTGCATGTAAAAGAAGAATACATCATGTCCTTCACACCAAGCTTTATGAAAACACTAGTCTGTCTCATTACACTAACTTTTTTTTCCATTCATCTCAGATTGATTTTCTTCTATTTGTTTTTTTGTTTGTTTGTTTGTTTATGTGTTTAAAAGTTCATATAGTCATTGAAAAAAACACCTGATGGACACTAATGGAAAATACCACTGAGTCCATTGTCCCACTTGCACCTGGGTTTCAAATTTGTTTTGAAGGGCTGAACCTTTAGACCTGAAAGGATAACCCAGTCCCCTGGCCAACTCAGCCCTGAGTTTGAAAACAACGTGCCAGCTTTGTTAACCAGTTTGTACAAGAAAAGCTAGACTGAAACTGGTTATTACATTTTGGCTATTGAATACCTGTCAAACAGTAACTGTCATGATCCACATGAGGCAGACCTGAAGCAGATACTTTGAGATGAAAAGCTGTGTATCCCATTACCAGTCACTTGAGCTGTTCAGTGTCCATCTGCTGATTGGAGAAGAAAACATCATTAATAATGTATTTAGGGATTGTGATCTAGCTTTTATGTTGCTCTTAGTTCTTCCAGCATGAGCTATCTTGGCATTATTTATCTTCTGAGCTCTAGCAGCCATGGAAAGTTTAATGATATTTTCTGTTTTAGGGGATAAAAAGAATTAAAGCATGTGGTCTAACAACAGAATTGATCCATGAGTGTGAGGTTGCTTAGTGTTTTCATAAGTATCTACGCTACATTAATAAGTTTTATCACTGCTTCGAAATACTTTTCCAAAAGAGGGAGTCTCAGCCAAGAAGAGTAACTTGTATAGTAATTTATTATAACTCAAACAACTATTTTAGTACTTAATAATATAAATGACTTGATGCTATGAAATGAGTAATGTAATGTTTTGGACTTAAGAACCTGAATGCTCACATAGATTGGTGCAGTTCTGTCAGTGGAAATGTCAATGATAGTAAAATAGCCAGAAATATCTAGAGAATTTGTTTGTTTTGAACAATGTTTTAACATTTTTAATTAACAGTTTCACCAGTCACATTACAATTATTGCATTAGAACTCAAGCCATTCAAACACATAATTTACAGTCTTATCATTTGGGGAGTTGTTTTGATTTTATATTGTGGAACAATATCATTTGATAAATTGTCAGATGAAAGACCGCAGCCTAAACAAGATGGTATTAGCTGTTAAGTTCTTAATGTCTCTGAAAGTCTTACTTTTTTTTTAAGTATTGATCTCTTTTTCCTTAGAAAGGGTGGTTTGTGTACACTGGAAAAATAATTATGTGCCTGGAAGAAAATGGCACGCAGGTTTCATCCTTGATCCAAGACATTTGTGAAATAAAAGTTCCTCTTTGTCTATGATTTTTTTTAAAAAAAATTTGTTTTAATATCAAGTAGCGTGAACTGGCCAAAACCACCAAAAGCTTGGCTGTTTATCTCTACAGATCTCTGTAGTTTTCATGCCTTTGTGGCTCAAAGCTTGTATTACTGCAGTACAGAGGGACTGAGGAGCTATAGCTATGGCAACCAGTGCCTGGTAGGTAACTGACAGCATAAATTACAGGATCTCTAAGGATTTGCTGCAGATTGGTCTCCCTGCTGGTCTGGCTGCTCATTTTGGCTTTGACCTTCAGGACAAGGACCAGCATCAAGGCCTTTTCTGTTCCCAATATTCACCCTTCTGTAAGAAACTCTGAAGAGGTTATATAGATAAACAGGTACAGATGGGTCCTAGACTGGTTTAGATGGGGATTTTTTTGTAGTTGTATTTATTGTAATTCTTCAAGTGAGACAAATTGTGTCTCATTTTTGCTAATCAGTATTTGCTACGTCTGCTGTAGCACTCTTGCCACCTCACCTAGCTCATTCAGCAGGGTATTTTTCACAACCCTGTTTGATTCTGAATTCAAACTCAACCTCAGACACAGCTTTTATATAAAAAATGAGGTAGGGATTAAGGTGGGATATGAAGCATTCTTGTTGCTATTATTTAGGTTATGCAGAGCGTATCTGAATTAGGAAAGCCAGTTGAAACCCTGACATTAAAAATCCAGGTCCTCCATAGTCACTGGCAATTGGAGAACATATTTCATAGCAGTATAACAAAAGCCAAAAGACTGAGAGGTGAAATACAGGAGAAAATAATTTCTTAATATCTCTGCAACTTGCTGATTAAATTTTAAGAAAAATTAGACTAATGTCCTGGGTAATGTGTGAGTGGTCATGGTCCAGAACCTGAAGTTCAGTTTTGGGTCTCCTTTCCCCACCTCAAATCAATTAATGCTGGTTAAAATGTTTTGCAGATCAGAGTTCAGTATCTCTGTTGACAATGTATTTAGACTTCTTTTTATGAAAGCTGTTGGCCATTTCTGTAAAGATCATCTGCCAGCAGTTATCTTTTCACAGTTGCTTAATCATGTGCATTTAAAAACAAAACTGAATGTGTCTGAACACTTATACCTTCAGCCAAGTGTCTTGTTGGTGCAGATATAATAATATTATGTAATAATAATAACAATGACTTAACTGAACAACCCAGGACACATGTTCTGACATTGTATGCAATTAAAGAGCTGTAAATGTTTCAAGGAAAATGAAATTAATTTGTAAGAAAATGAGAACTACAACTTAAAACAGGTTTCAGCAGTCACAGACAAACCCCCAAACCTTTATCTAAATGAAGCAGTTCATTCTATAGAAGGTCTTATAGATTTAGTGGATTTCTTTAGAATGCAGAATAGAGAATTTTATTGCTTAAATATCATCTGCAAACAATAAAGTGTAATGCTGGAATATTAACATACATTAATACAAAAGTCTACTAAAATGGGAGTAAAATATGTTTATGAAAACAACCGCAGTAAGGTGATTTCATCTGTACAATTGTAAGGCATAAAGAAGCAGTTCACAGGAAAAATCTCTGCAAAATGTTTTTGGAGTTTGCTGGGTTCAAAATTACTCATGTTCAGTTCATTTTAAATAAAGATGACCTAATAAAATTTAATAAAGTTATAACCCTAACTGAATTTAAATAACTCTGTTTGGAATACTAATGTTTCTGTGGTGGGGTGACAAAGCTGAAGAATTTGGGGTTCTTTTGTATTTAGTAACTACTAGTTCCTTTTTCTAGTGACTGGTTTCAGTACTGTAAACAAACTTTCAGAGATTGGTAGTAGAGTTCCCAAGGTTGGGAGTTGCCTGATATTATTGATGAACTGACAGCTAAGAAAAGAATAGAAAATTATTGACATGGTGATTTTTGCTCAAGTGCATAGCGAGACTGTGCTCACTGTATGTGTTTACAACTGAAAAACCCCACCAATAATGGGGACAGCTTTTTTCTTAATTATTAATAGCTAGTATGTACCTAGTTCAGATCCCTAAAAATGTCCTATTAGTATTACTGATAAAATGAGTGGACCAGTCAGGTGCAATGACATTTTGCCACTCAGCATTGATTTTTAGTAAGATTGCAAATGAGTAGAGATTTTTGTCTTGGAGCTGTTTAGGATCGTACAAGAATTATATATAGGAAAGGTGGAATAGATGTGAGGATATAATCTGTGATAGCCTATTGCTCGTCTTGTTTTTTTCTCCTTAATAATCTATGACAGGCACATTTAAATTTACTGAAAAGCCTTCGGTAAAGAAGGTTTTACAGCCTTCTTAGTGGGTCTGTTCCTTGGCAGAATTATCATAATAATTGTTTTAATTCTTCTCAGTGTACTATTTAATTAATATTTCCAGTGTTTCTTCTAGTCCATATATTGAGCAGTAGATGATCATCTTTTTATAATTACCTTTCACGTATAAAGAGAATTAACAAGAGAATTAACAGTCTTTCAGATTCTTCACCTCTCTCATAAGTCTCATTTTCTAAGCCACATTTACTGTTAGTTTTCTTCTCTAAGTACTAACAATTACTAAACCTGTTGACTTTTTAAATTAAAGCAATCCAAAATAACTCAGTAAATGCACACCTTAATTTAAGTATTTTCATGTTAGTAATGTAAGCACATAATAAATATTAAGGAAAAACTCTCTCTGGTTCTGAAGAATGTGGTGTTCAGTGTGTCAAATAAGGTCATAAGGTCATCCTAGGTCTAAATGTCTAAATGAGTTCACTGTGTTCCACTGGAGATTTTCACCTGAAAACAAGTTTGTAAAATATATTCTGGCCCTCTCAATAGAATAATAATGTCCACATCATCACCAGACTAAAGTTAGTGGTGTTTTTTTGCCCCAAAATTAGAATTTTTATTTTGAGCATGGAGATACTTACAGCTGTACTGCATCAGCTGGAGCTGTGGGGGATGACTGGGATGGTTTCTTCTCCTTTCCTTTCTTGTTCCTGATGACAGTAATTTGTCGTGGCTTTTTATTTGACACAGTGTACTCTTCAAACTTGTGCAGGTTTTTTTCCCGCATTCATTCTGCACGTTTTAATTGAAGTCTGCAGCTTATTTATCTCTGCTTTGCTGAAGTGAGGGTATAAGTAATGTATTACAGGAGTGAGTTTCTTAT